AAGTCTTTTTCTTCTCAGTTGTCTCTGTCTCGGTGAGCCTTGATGGTAATTGGTCAGACCGTGACATCGCATGTTAGTAAGTCGCGCCAGATATTGAGCGAGAGATGGGCAGGGTGCGGGCAGTCAGCGTGACTGCAGCCTTGGCATGATATTTCAGCGATCTCGGGTTCCCACAGTGGCGCTAGCGCCCACTACACCACCATCACCATCATTACCTGCCTGTCCAACAGGGAACCCACAGCCCAGATTTAAACTGCATCTATCGCACTCACTCTTTCTTCAGTCACCTTACACACAAGCAAAAATTGCAGTCGATTTGATGTCTTACAAAATAAGCAATCACCGCTTGACCTACCACACACAATATATCTAAACTCTGGATGTACCAGACAACAGTAAGGGTGACTCAAATCTCACCTCATTGCTAATTCCATAAATACCCTGCTGAGATGGAACCATTACATTCTGGGGCTTAGTCTTTCAATCGCCCCAAAGTACATACTCATTTTAAAGAGTGGATCACCGTAGCAATACAGGTTTCTCCATGCGCACCGTGATTTATTTAGGCGCATCAGATTTAATTTGTATAAAGGCACTGATTTAGTCTCACGTCCTCTTTCCTCTCCCATGTACAAAATGACATGCCAATAAGCCTGGCTACGCAAAACCTGGTCTCCTACTTATGTATCACGATAAACCGAAGAACAGACTTTGCTTCGTGAGATAGATGTGCATATTCTTAAATGCGGGGTTTCTCCAATGCCCATATTTTAATAGAGTCGTATACAACCGAAAGTTCCGGAGCAGCGTGAACAGGTCAGACGGTAGTGACTGCTGTTCATAGGGATCCTACAAACTGGCTCATTGGTCTCTATACCAGGGATTCGCAAGTGGTTTACGAGGCCGATGCGTAAGCTAAATGCGCGTTTCTAGTTTGGACAGGAAAGGAGATACTTTCAACTGAGTTGCTGGTGGTGGTGGTGGTGTTGATGGCAAATGTTCACTACTGTTTATGTGCGTTAGAGATGCTTGGCTGCAAGGTGAATCTGTTGGTGATGGTTGAGTATATTGTGCTGTCAC